GTAAAAACGTTCGTACAAATATTGATATTGCCTATGCTTTGCGTGATAATTATTCCCCACATTAGTTTGAAGTGAATGCTCTCTATGTGGCAAATGACTAAAAGCTACTATAAGTAGATCTTCTGCCTCTGTGTAATCATGGAAACTTTCATTTCTACCAAAATGAAGGGCTTATTACTCAGSAATTACATATCGAAATTGTTTAAAATCGGAAATTCATGGAACAAGACAAACAAGAAGAGGATCTACGACCTAGAAGAACAAGAAKAAGAAACATGAAACCATGGCCAGAAATTCCGGACAYTTGAGCCCGTGACGAGTCRGCGGGTTTTCMCACCAAAATAGAGCTTTCTACAAGTTCCCTTGACAAGGTTTGAACTTTTTAAGATCAAATTTTCTACTCTTGTTTAAGGATCCTTTATCTTAATACCATACAGGGTTATCGAAACGTTCAAAACATCGACAAACGAGCCTGGGATAGCACTCCCTGCTCCTTGAGTTCATACTCGTTTGGAATGTTCATAGTATAAATAGTATTATTTGCTGGAACACACGTTTGCCTCATGTATTTTAAACAATGATCAGTTGATATTGTAATATTTTGTTTATACTTGTACATTTCTAAGGAATTTAAAAGTTCTGACATTGTTTACACTAAATAGCGGAGACTTATTTGGTCTATTTTTCGTTCGTATTTCCCCGGGAAAATAGCGGCGCTATTTACCAGTGCGCAAAGTGTGTGTCAATAAGAGGACATACAACACAACTACACAAAACCATGTCAATTTGTCTTTGAACTCATTCTTAGTCTATCTAAAAAAGCGAAAATCGTCTTGTCKGKAATTTAAGCTGTATGTGCTGTGTGTATGTCCTCACAAACTAAACGGCCAATCAGTGCGCGAGAATTCACACAATTGTGGTTAAAACGATATTGGATTTATTAAAAAAGATCTTTTTTTTTATTCCATCAATTATTGTTCGCACAATTAATAAATGACTTGTTGTTCGGAACTTTGGAACTATTAAGAGAAAATGTGCAACCGTCTGACTACGGAGTTCTACGTCATCGGTAAAACGAGTTGTCTTCAATCGGCCAACCGGACAAAGCAGAACGAGCCAGGAACAGGCACAAGAATTGCATAGTTCTGTTTTCTTTTAGAAGGTGATGTGCTTCTGGCTCTTACTAGAACTACAATGATAATTCAAACTTGCGTTTCTTCGATTTCATCCTTCTCCTCCTTTTCCTCTCCACAGAGCTTCACTTCCTCTTTTTGACTGCCCTTACTCTTTCCACAACAAGGCACGCTATAGTCTAACTGAGCCTCTTCGGCTGCTTCAATGGTCTGTTCCATGTTAGCGAATAAGGTCTCAGGTAAGATTGATGCCAGCAGCGCTGATGAAATACCCAAAACTCCAAAAATACAGAATGGTACGATCAAGGAAACACCGGGAAGTTGAGCCTGGAAAAAAATKGAGGAGTYACACTTATCGAAAAATTGTCTGCTCAAATCCATAAAACCCATTGAGCAATCAAAAATCTCAGTGTGGTGTTCATAAAAAATGTGAAAAGTTGTTTTTATTATAACGTACCATCATAACAAAGAATGGAGATAATATGGCGCCAATACGAGCTGACATATTTCCAAAACCAAGTGAAAGATTTCTTAAAGAGAAARAGTATGAAAATTTAAGGTATACGTGATAGATTCTTGCTCAMGTTAGTCGTCAATGTCCAATTTGAAAGGTTGAAAGACTAGTGGTAACTTCGTTTAAAAGCATTTTAGTTAAGGATTCAGAGAGAGGAGAAGCTATATTTTCATGATCGATCCATTCAGTATAGCGGATATGAGACMAGAGTACAGGAGATCAGTGTGCACTCCCTCCTGARAACATGTRACCATATGTTCTTTTTCTTACTTTGTGTCTCCTTCGTGACCATGTTATCCGTCTGCAACCTTCACTGATGAATACTGKMAACTATCGTCTCATGTAGGCCATTATAGTCTTATACTTTACCTGACAACGGTTGGAAACAGCTCTGACGTCCACATGAAGATGAGGGTGAACTGGGAGCCCATCACAGCTTTGCCTGTCAATGCCAATACCGTCCTTACCTCAGACACACCTAGAATAWGACAATCAATACTACATGCCAATCTCTGTTAAAACCTGTTGGTGTCATTAACTAGAATTGTATTTTTATGTCTTGCATTTCAACAAGCTGCTGTACCGCTATTCTATAAGACTCAGCAGGTCATATTATCTATTTATCTGAGCAGCAATCCGCTGCTTGTTCACCTGTCAATTAATCCGTCATTTTGTCTTTCGACATTCCGCGTTGATGATATTTATTCTTAGATTTGGTACTTGCTTTGCCTTTGAGAATGAAGTCTTAATTTCTAAATCGTTTAGTCAGGATAATCCTCTCAGCTACAGTATGTTTCGTCTGATARTTWAAGTTTACCTTTGGGAATAAATGGCAGTATTGTAAGAGCGACTGCAGCCAAGCACATCAAACCAGWGAAGGAAATACGACGGCCGAAACTGAAAAAGGAAGGCATAGACAATTTAGCCACCTTTTACCTCAATCGTAAATCACTAGTATCTACTAGAGTAGTTACCGAGCTGCTAAGATCCACATCAAAATACCTTACTACCTTACTCTACCTTACTCGTTCGTAACCACTACTATTGAAATTATTGCTATCTTCATGACTTGGGTGGCGAACCCAACATTAAGTTATCAATAAATGTCTTGATTGCCTCTATCCTGTATTTTTTGTAACTTACCGAGATGCCAAGATCCACATTAAAAGAATTGCAGGAATATCAGAAAGATTCATGATGAGTACGTTGATGAAAATATCKCCGTAGAGCCTTGTCACAAACAAGAACATAGCAATGAACAGTAAAGCAACGACAAACCTAAGAGTTAATAAACAAAAAAATATGCATAAAAACATTAGTAGAATACAGCGTTGCGAAGTCTTTGAAAATCATTTGATGAGGCACTGAGACGTTGTTTGAGAGACTGTGAAATGAAACATTTTACTTTTTTTTTCCTGTCAACCGTTTAATTGTAGTTGTAGTATGTAGTTGAAGTATCTATATTTGTGCAATAAAGGATTGATTGCAATGGTTTAAGTATAGCTTAAAACACGAGAGTGTGTTTTAAACGGCTTCAAAACTCCAACACTAATTTGAAACTCAAATGCGTTA